AATGCCTTATCAAAACCCAGGTGTTAAAGTCTTAATTCCTATCTTGGTAGTTCTGGACGATGGTAGAAACTTTAAGGGACAGAATGTAGGGGGAATGGTTCAAGTCATGGTGAGCACAATCTTGAAGGAAATTGTGGACCCTCTTCTTTCTTTGTTGCTTTTTGGCTGAGGTGAATCATTGAGTGTCACTGTCCATTCTCACCATGACATACTGCCTCATTCCAAGAACAGAGTCAAGTACAGATCATAGACTGACACTTGCAGAATGGGTATCAAAAATACATCTCCTTTGTTTATAAATTCATATAAGCTCAATAATTTTTAGTTGTAGAAGGCTGACTAATACAATAGACTACATTAAATCTTCAGTTTTCAATGTTCACTTAAAATTGTGTATGTATGCTGGCGTGGTGGTGCATGCCTTTAATCCCACCACTCAGGAGGCAGAAGCAGTCAGATCTCAGTGAGTTCAAGGACAGCCCAGTCTACATAGTGAGTTTCAGAACAGCTGGGGCTACAGGGAGACCCTGTCTCAAAAAAGACCAAAACAAAACAAAAAATCTATTTTAAAATGCAAAGTCCCTGGGAGAAGGGACTGGGAATCTTTTTTTTCTTTTTTAAACAGGGTCCTGCTATGTAGCTCAGGCTGGCCTAGAATTCACGATACTCTTGCATTAGCCTCCTGAGTTCTGGGATTATAGGCATGTGCCACCATGTCTGGCTTAAGCTTTTTTGTTTGGTTTGGTTTTCTGTTTTTGTTTTTGTGGTTTTTTTTTTTTTCTTTTGAGACAGGGTCTTACTATCTAGCCCTGGCTGGCCTTGAATTCACAGAGCTTCTGCTTCTGACTCCCAAGTGCTGGGATTAAAGACATGCACCATCATGCCCAGTGATTACTACCCTTTAAATGTAACCATAACACCAATATTGGTTTTTATTTTCATTTTATTTATTTTTTGATTTATTTTTGTTTTATGTGTATGAGTGTTATGCCTGCATATGTGGAAGTGCAGTGCCTGAGGTGGATAGAAGAGGGCATTGGATCCCCTGGAACTGGAGTTATGGACAGTTGTTAGCTGCCATGTGAATGCTGGGATTCGAACCTGGATTTTCTACAAGAACAACTAGTGCTCTTAATCACTGAGCCATCTCTCCAGTCCAACACCAATATTATACCTAAATTTTCTCTTTTTAAAACAATTTTTATTTTGTTTTGCTTATTAATGCATGTATGTTCTAGTTTGTTTCTCCACTGCTGTAACAAAGCACTCTGAGCAATACCAACTAGGGAAGGAAAGGGTTTATTTGACTTACATCTTACAGTTCATCAGGGAGCCCAAAGCAGGAACTCAGGGCCGGAGTCTGGAGGCAGAGCTGAAGCACAGGCCATGAAGGAGCACTGCTTACTGACTTGCTCCCCTGCCTAGTACTCAGCCTGTATACAGTACAGAACAACCTGCTCGGGGATGGCACCGCCCACAGTGGGTTGGGCCTTCCCACGTCACTCAACAATCAAGAAAATACCCTATAGACATGGCCACAGGCCAGTCCAATGGAGGTAATTCCCCAATTGAGGCACCCTCTACCCAGATGTGTCGAGTTGACAACTAAATCTATCCAGTGCAATTGACCCCTTGTCAACTTGACACACAAACACATCACTATTAAATACAAGCTTTCTATTTCTTATCCCCAACATATGATGTTACTATTGCAACATAAGACAGTCCAACCTTAAAAGTCCCACAGTCCTTAAAAATCCAAACATTAAGCTGGGTGTGGTGGCCCACCCCTTTAATCCCAGCACTTGGGAGGCGGAGGCAGGTGGATCTCTGTGAGTTCAAGGCCAGCCCGGTCTACATAGTGTGTTCCAGGACATCTGGGGCTACAGTGAGACCCTGTCTCAAAAAGACCAAAAAAAAAGGAAAAAAATTCAAACACTAGCCAGGCATGGTAGTGCATGCCTTTAGTCCCAGCCCTCCAGCAGAAGCAGCAGATCTCTTTGAGTTCAAGGCCAGCTGGGGCTTCGGGAGATCCTGTCTCAAAAAGGCCAAAAAATAAAAAATAAAAAAATCCAAACACTTAAAAGTCCATAGTCTCTTTTAAAAAGTCCCTTAACTGCGGGTTCCTATAAAATCCAAAACAACTACTGTCTTATTTCAAAAGGGAAGGATTGGGCACACCTAAGCAAAGTCCAGCAAAGTAGCTCAAGGCTGGACATCTGGGATTCACTCACAATCTTCTGGACTCCAAGGGGTTTGGGCAGCTCCACTTCTCTAACTCTGCTGTCCACAGCACACACGGCTCATCTTACAGACCCAGGCAGGCTCCATTCTACACCTGCTGCTACCCTTGGTGGCTGTCCATGGCTCTGGCATCTCCAAAAAGCTCGGGTCTCCACTGAAACCGAGGCTGCACCTTCACCAATGGCTTCTTCTGGCTTCTTGGGGTGCAAAGCCTCAGATTCTTTCCATGACCCGTTCAGTCCTGGGGTCTTCACTGCAACTAAGGCTGCACTTTCACCAATGGCCTTTTGTGGTCTCTCAGGGTGCCAAGCCTCAACTGCTCTCTGTGACCCCTTCATGCTTTCAGCAGCAGAACCATGCAGGAGACTCTTACACATTACCAAGTCCTGTTTCCAGCTTGAGATGGAGGCTCAGGTGTCCTCTGGATCATGGCTTCTGTGTGCTGACCCTGAGGAAATGCTTCCCAAAAGGATTTTGCCGCAGTGATGCTGGTCTCTTTTTACAGCTGATTTTTTCAGCACTCGCTGACCAGCATCGATTGTCCCAGGAAAGCAAAGGTTTCACTTCAGTGGTTCTGGTCTCTTCTTAATCGCAGCTGATACTTCAGCCCCAGTCGACCAGAAACCACAGATTCTCAATTCAAACTATCACACAAACAGCCCTGATGGTCTCTGCCTCTCTTTGAAGCTTCACAAGCCAGGCCACCATCATCTATAACTTTTTCAGCATAACTGTTCCAAGCTCCACAGGAACAAACTCTAAGCACTCAATGACTGTTCTAGCCCAACGTTCCAACACTTCCACAGTCTTCCCCCAAAATAACTGGGAGGGCAATGCCCCATGATCCTGGTACCAATTTCTGTTCTGGTTTGTTTCTCCATTGCTGTGACAAAACATTCTGACCAATACCAACTTTTTCTTTTTAAATTTTATGTGTGAGTATATTGCCTGCATGTGTGTAAGTGCACCTATGTCATGCTTTGCCCGTGGAGGTCAGAAGAAGGCATTGGATTCCCCTGGAACTGGAGTTACAGATGGTTGTTAGCTGCCATGTGGGTGCTGGGAATTGAACCCAGGTTTTCTGCAAGAACAGCCAGTGCTCTTAACCGCTGAGCCATCTCTCCAGCCCCTCAGCCTTTCTTATACAATATAGAACAACCTGCTGAGGGGTGGCACTGCCCACAGTGGGCTGGGCCCTTCCACATCACTCAACAATCAAGAAAATACCCCATGGACATGTGCACAGGGCAGTCCAATGAGGCAATTCAGCTTCCTCTAACACGGGTGTGTCAAGTTGACAAGTAAAGCTATCTAGCACATATGTGTACATGTATGGGAACACGTATGGCATGGCATGTGTGTGGAGGTTAGAGGACAGTTTTGTGGTGGTTTTCTCCTTCCACCTTCACATGGGTCTGAGAATCACACTCAAGTCATTGGGCTTGCATCATTAAGTGGCAAATGCTTTTACCTACTGTGCCATCTTACAGGGCCCCAAAATGGTTTTTTCTTATAAAACATGTACTCACTATAACTCAGAAAGTGCATCAAGAAAAAAGAAAGAAACGAACAAAAAAGGTAGACATGATGGCTCACACCCTCAATCCCTAGGGAGGCTGAAGCAGGAGGATCACAAGCACAAACAAGGCTAGCATGAGCTCCACAGTGAGACTCAGTAGCGAAAAACAAAGATAGCACCACTTGGGTACC